AAGGTAAAATAATGGTTTGAGATTTTTATCAGATATGGAGAGTAGTTATTTATGAAAAACAAAGAAATGTCTATTTTTGTTTCTTTGTTCCCAATTAATGTAGATAAAATTTAAAGTACATTAAAGCAATGGTGAAGAAAACACAAAGATGCTGTACACGTCTTTTTCTCCTCACACATTTATGGAGAAACACTGCTTTCTAAGAGTATCTGGGGAGATATGTGGATTCTAACTTCATAGTCAGATTTCTCAGAGGTACTTAAAATATAAGTGGCAATGTTTTTATTAAGAAAATCAGCGAATTCCGGTCACCAGAAGCAGAACTAATGAAGACGTTTTACTTGAATATACTTCATAGGCTTCTCCTGCTGATCCTGTGACTGTTTCATGACCCACTTGAGGAAACGAAGGGAAGCACGTGAGAGAGACCCCGCCTGAGACGCAGTAGCCTCATCTGTGCCGCGTCCCGAACCTCCTTGGATAGAGGGGGTGCTGTTGATCTGTGTGTCCGCTTGAGGGTCAGACACTCCCACAGCCCTTTCTCCTTCAGCGGTTAGATCCACAGCTTGGTGCTAAGCTGTAAATACAAGTCGGGGAGCCCAGATAAGAGGATATAAGTTGATTTAGAGGTGGCACCTCCCTGATAATCTGGACAGATGCTTAGCAGACCTGAGATTCTGTTGTCAGAGTACTTTCTACTGGCTGCTGCTTTGGCAAAATGCAGATCGGCCACCAATCCACCAGTCACCTCCTCGTAATGCCTGGTGTGTCACGTTCTCCAGCAATGCTCTGAGGTGTAAGTATGTGGGAGAAGTTGGGTAATTAGGAGGTTAAAATGTTTGGGGAAGTGAGACAAATCCAGCAAGAGGTGGATAACAATGTGAGGGTGTATAATTCAGTGTCAGAGTGAGTGCTCTGACCGATGCGAGATTGGCGCGTGAGCTAGGGCAGCTGGAGAAGCAAAAAAGGAGATCCAGCAGTGGTGCTGGATGCTGGCAGGAGAGCAGTGCACCTCGCACGGACAGGACACTCGTCGGCACGCCTCGCCCGCCTGCGGCTCACCCCAGTGGAACAGCTGGAGCGAAGGGACTGGAGCTGGAGAGAGGTGGGCCCAGTGTCACTGCCAATGATGCTGCTTTAGAGATTTAGGGACAGAGCTCTTCCTTGTCCTGCATGGAAACAGCGCTGAGAGGCAGTAGAATGGTTAGCCACATAGACTTGGGAGCCAGACTGACTGGGGTTCAAATCCCAGCGCCAGCGTTCACAGCCACGTGGTCCTGGACCTGTGCCTTAACCTGTTAGGACTTCAGCTTTCTCATCTGTGAAAGGAGGGAAATAACAGTTCTTGTCTTATGGTCCAGAGGACCTAAAAGATTAAATCAGGGTTAGGCCAGGTTAAGGTACAGAAAGTGCAGAAGCAGCAGCTGTTCAGGCATGCAGTGCGAAGGGAATTGAATGACTAGGTTTCAAATTTGAGTCTGCATAAGAGTCATTTGGGGTTCCTATTAAAAATGTAGATTCCCAGGCTTCAGCCTGAGGAACTGAGATTCAGTAGGCCTGCAGTCCAAGAAGCTGCTGCTGCTTTTTGGTAAACTTTATTCTGGAATTATTTTAGATTGATAGAAAAGTTGCAAGGATAATTCAGAGTTCCTCCAGACCCCTTACTCATTTTGCCCTAATGTTAATGTAGCATCATAGTACACTTGTTTGTTACAATTAAGAAGTCAACCTTGGCACAGTACTATCAGCTCCAGACTGTATTTGGATTTCACTAGAGTTTCCACTGCTGTTCTGTATCTGTTCCAGAATCCAATCCAGGATTCTGTGTTGCGTCTAGAGAAGCTTTCTTTTTCATATATTCACTTTCAACTGACGAGAGACAGGTGGCCTAGGGACCACATCTTGAGAAACACTAAGACGGTAAAAGACTGAGCAAAGTCGAATTGCCCCATCCCCACACTGGGGAGATGAATGCAATTTTGAAACAAGGGAATAAACTGGTGGAGGGGAGGGAGCTAGGTGATTTTAGAGTTGGGATGGAATCCCCTCCAAGCTTAAGAAGCGAGGCATCTATTCCTACTGCCAGATGAGTGCCAGTGAGTCTGGGAGTTTGGAATGTAGGGATGCTGCCCAGGCTGAGGAGATACATCTAGGGCTGTGGGCAGGTCAGAGAGTCAGCAAGTGCAGTAAGTACGGAACACATGCTTTTGGGCACACAGGAGGCCTCAAATAGGCGGTTAAAGGGGATGACGAGGGCCCAGGTAGCCTGTGAGTCATGTAAAACCTGTATTTCCTGGAACCTGGAGGTAATGCTTTGGAAATCAGGCACTGCCCCATTGGACACTGGCAGAAGGTCAAGGAGGGCAAAGGCCAAGATGATCTTGAGGGAGGGCCCTAAACGGGAAGTGGACAAAACACTGCAGCTCTGCTTTTGGAAGAGTTGGTTCCCATAGGGAGGAGATAAAGGGGCCACCATCTAGGGGCTATACGAGAAGGTGAGTAGAATTGAGAAGGTAACATGAATAGATGTCTTAAGAAAAAGCTAGCAGAATCATTTGAGGTCTGAATACTCTTGGTATCTTCTTGAGGACCTTAGGTTCTGATGGTATCACTGAATTTAATCAATTCAATTACTTAGCTCCCTTCACAGCAGTTAGAATAATCTAACCTATTCCTTTTTTAAAGAGAGTTAACCTTTTTTTATTTGACTCTGGATTCCTCTTAATTTCTGTACTGTTTCACTTTCCTAGTTCTTTCGGCACCTTAGAGATCTAAAATACAAACTGGTGCTTTTTTTTTTTAAACATTTTATTTTTCCTTTTTCTCCCAAAGCCCCCCAGTACATAGTTGTGTATTTTTAGTTGTGGGTCCTTCTAGTTGTGGCATGTGGGACGCTGCCTCAGCATGGCTTAGGCGAGCAGTGCCATGTCTGCGCCCAGGATTCGAACCAGGAAAACTCTGGGCCACCGAAGCAGAGTGCATGAACCTAACCACTCGGCCACCAGGCCAGCCCCAAAACTGGTGCTCTTAAAATTTATTTCCCCTTAAGTGCATGTTCTCCTATCTGCCAAACCCATTTAAAATAGTTCAGTGGAAATTGCCTCAGAAGCCAAACAGCTTGGCACCTGCGTGCCAGGGCAGCAGGCTTTGCTCAGGGCTCCTAGGTCTTTGGTGTTGCTTCCTGGCAGTGTCAGGCAGACCAAGTTGGGAAGTGGCTGACCGTTAAGACCTGAGGTGATTGAATCCTTGTTGATAGATGCCGCGTGTAATCTACAGATTCTGCATAGAAACTAGCATCTACCTGGGAGATTTCTCTGCTGGCTATCAAGTGCTTTTCCAAGTAGCTCCATACTCACCAGCTTCCAGGTGAAGGAACAGTGTAGACATTTGAGATGTGGTTGGGGGAAGGCGTCAGTGATTTTAGCTATCCTACATGCTGTAGCTAAATGTTTCCCCAAAAACTGCATAACCTGAATACAGAGTGAATTGAAAAGTAAATACTGGTGTCAGCATTTTTTTAATCAAGGAATAGTCTATTTATAGACATAGGAAAACTAAACCAAGAAATGAACCTTGATTCAGTGCTGTTGGGTTTCAGTAATGTACGGGCAGACCAGGTATGTTACCAGTAAATGAAAGAGCCATGATGGAACCCAGTACAGCATGGAAGAAACTTCTCTTTAACCGGAAACGTTGGGTCCTACGTTGTCGTCTTAGGATGAACCATAGGAAACTGCTGACAAGCAACCATTTTTGACCTACAAAAATTGCCATTTCATTTGGTTCAAACATGTATTTCAGACCTTTGTCTTTTCCTTGTAATGAAAACTTAAAAGTTCAGTTCACAATATACCAGAGTTAAAATTTCATTGAGGTCAGTATTCCAGTAGGAGGAAACACTAAGAAGAAAAATAAGTCTGAGTGGAGGTAGTCAGGTATTTTATAGTATTAGAACTATGGGAGCAAACCCTTCGCAGGTGTAATACCTAAACAACTGCCAGGTCACCACCCCACTGGTAACCAGTTTCCAGGTCCTGTGACATTTGTCAGAGAACATGCTTGCTTTCTGTGATGTTTCCACTCTTACCCTAGGTTGACCCAATTTCCCATTTATCAAAATGGCTGTATTACCTTCTAGAATTAAAGCAATTTTTAGTGATTCTACTTATTCCACCAATTTGTTCTTGATATCAGAGTCATGTCCAATGTCTCTCCCCCAAACTTTTTAAACCTTTGACCCCTCATATTTGTCAGCTTAGTAACTGGCATGTTACTAGAGGGTCAAACTATCTTATAAACAGTGATTTGTGATTTTCCCTTCTAAACTTAGATCATTTACCTTAATCAGCAATTTATCAACAACAAAATGATCAAAGATTTGACCTCAGGTGGTGAAACATGGATGAAATACAGCAGTACTCAGGATTTACTCAGCATTGCTTGAGTGACTAGGGTCTGAGTTTTAAACAAACCTTATGGAGATTTGGTATATTTCTAACTGAAATGTAAGTCTGAAAATAGCATTTTAAAGTCAAATTATGTGGCTTGTTTAAAGTCACCCTCCTTCCAGAAGCCACAGTTCCAGTTCCGCTTCTTCCACCGTCTCTCCTGTTTAAGTGCTGCAGAGCCTCAAGTGACTATCCTGATACCACGCTAATCCTACAGCACTCCTGTCATTCCTTTCTCTCTCAGGTCTTTTACCTTCCAGTGTGCTTTTCTGTCTTGACACAATAACGAACCATTCAGAGATGCCTTCTAATGCACTATGCCTCTGAGTACTGTGGCCAGTGATTAAGTGAATAAATTATCTTCAGGTTAAAAAGAGCATACACCCAAGAAATAAATGACCATCATACCTAGCAGCAGGGGTAAAACCAATCTATGAATGGTCAGTCTGGAAATGCTTCAAGACTCCACTAGCAGAGCTGACTGAAACCATTTTAAGTTAGGCAGAGATGTAATGCTATGATAATAGAAATGTTACAAACACAGTAGCCATATTTTAATTAAAATAGAGTTTATTAGCTTTTCTTTTAATATAAACATGAGAAAGAAAAACCACATAAGTTGTAGCATTCTTTTCAAAATAAAACTGCAATCAATACTTGAATCTCCAAACTCCATAAACAATGCTTTTGAGGTGGTAGATTGTAATATTGTATATACCATTATCTATCATTTATGTCTCTGTCCTTTAAAAATGATGGAACCTGCAGTATAATGTGAAGCCTTGCTATATTGAAAGTTTTCCTGGCCCAGAAGTGCTTTGTTTTACAAGCCAAATTCTTAGGATTACATTTGAGAAGGTAGGAGAACAGATTTCACAGGTTGAGAACACTAATCTTTTTTCAGTATTTCAAGTTTAGGTGACATTTTACCAATCTCTTGAAGGTTGATTACTTCACTCCCTATGCTGCACAGCCTGAGATAAGGGCTCCTCTGGTTTGTAAGTTTCCTCTTAAACGGCAGGACGTCGGACGGGGCAGCACAGCCAGGTTAACACGTGGGATGGACAAGCCGTTTCCCATCACCTACTTTCACATCACTACAATTAGGGTCCAGTTCCTGCCAGCTTATTACATGTGAATTAACACTGCTCTTCATAATCCTCCTTTCCCAAACCTAGAGAAAAATTTAGGTGATCAAATCAGGTAACAGCACAAGCCCTACAAAGAACTATTTTTAAAAGAGGAGGGCACATGGAGACACAAGGCATCCCTAAAGTCTGGTGCAATTTTAAGCTTTGAGATTTATAGAAGTATAAATGCTACAAACTGACAAAGCACCATTTGAAAAGTGAACTAAATTTCTTTTAAACCTATTTAGTTTTATAAATTTTAAATATTAAACTTTCAATTTTAATTTTGTTTCAGGCAATGTTTGCCAATTCAAGAGGGGCTGAAACAAAAAATTAAAACTAAAAGCTTAGTATTTAAAATTTACAAAACTAAGTAAGTTTAAAAAAATTCCATTAACCTTTCAGATGATGTTTTGTAAGCCTGTCGCATTTACCTCCTGCAGCAGCGTTCCAGAGGCCCCGCGCTCTCCATAAAGCCTGAAACTGCACCAGCACTCTCGGGACACCTGTCTCAGGACCGGCTCGTTGTCACTGGACCACCATGTTGGCTGGAATTATGGAAATATCTTTTAATACATCTATCTAACGAAGAGGAAAATCATCAGAAAATGAAAAGCACCATTATAGTTCACGAGAAATGCAGCATGGCCCCAACAGAAGTAGATAATAACCAATACTTCCTCTGTTTATGATCCCAAACATGCTAATATGCTAATAAGTAGTGCTGGCAAAGAATGTGAATGACAAGTGTTATTCAGCAGCTTTTTGGTTTAAATTGATTGCCAATAATGACTAGCAGCTTCAATGACACAGTAGGGAGGAAGAACCTTCAATACCTAACAAGGCTACAGTCCATTCCTAAGTGGCTTTACGAGGTGTTAGGAGCCCCATGTTTCCCATGGTAATACTGCACTGATTCTAAAGGAATATGCAGCAATGTGGGGGGAAGGGAGGCAAGAAAAATAGAAAAAACATAAAACTTATATAGTTAGTGTCTTTAAAGTCTAAAAATTTAAACTATTAATTAAAAAACCTCACCTAGTTAGCTATCAGCCTACCACAGTATGCACATATCTGTGTGTGGGCCGGTAGCTTTTGCTTTGGAGTGGTTTTTGTAAGTGTTTACATTAAAAAGGACAGAAAAGTGTGTTGCATTGACAAGGTCCCATTCTTTTCTATGAGCATAATCCTTGCTGTCCATAAGTCTCTTGAATTCGATGTCTTTCTTTTAGGTGAAAATACTAACTTTGCTGGTTTTTGAGCAGGAGAGGTCCTATTTCTCCAGTCCTTGTAGATGAGGGGTTCATGATGTTACAACCCCTCCTTTCTCCCTTAAGAGAGGATGGCATTAGAGCGCTGAATACCAACGAAATTATCAGCACTGAAAGACCTTCTCATGGCAGCTCTACACAAGTCTTTGTATTTGTCTTCACACAATCTGGAAATGGCCTAGGAAAGTCAATCAAAGAGAACACAGGTACAATTAAAAAGGGTTCTAACTTAAAAAAAAAAAAAAAAAGCATCACCAATAAGCCACACATCCACACCCTCGGATAGTTCATGGTCTCTGCTACTCTGCATAGCTGAGGTCTGCACTGCCAGGCTCTGGGGATGTTACTTCCTGCCAACTCACTAAGGTAAAACCCTTTAAGGGCTATGATTCGATTTCCAGAGTTATTTAAAAATTGGGTTCCCAAAGATGTCAAAGGTATCGTGATAGACTCCTAACAGCAACACCATGTTACCTGTACACTTGTTCCTTAAACATAATGAACATACACTTGGCCAAAATCAGTGTTTGCTTAGCTATTCAAATTCTGTCCAATCTTCATTAGCTGTTACATACTCTGAGCAAAGTTTAACAAGGCAGCTGTGTGCTGGACTTGATTGGAAGCTAGGAGAAGTCTAATGACTGAAGCACCAAAAGGTGCTTTTCATTTGCACATTAATTATGGTAGAAAAGATCTTATTCTAACACACCCTCAAGGTACCACAGAAAGTGTCAATTTTAAATGTGTCCACCTCAGTTGTGAATAAGTTCATTGCATACTCATCAAAAGTCATAAATACTACTTTGTCCAATGTACCTTATCATTTCCACTAAAAAGCCATGTACCTTCTACATCCAGTATTTGAAACACATACATTCTAAGTGGAGGTCTCTCAGGTTAGCTACTAATACTTGTCTAATAAACTCATGGGGCTGAACTGTGATATATGTAGAAAACAAGGACATGAATTTGAAAACTGAGTGTAAGGCAGTTAAGAGTGGTAGGCAGATTGTGTGTGTAGATAGTCAGGATACAATCCTAAGAAATTATTCATGTACGGTTATTAGGAAGGGTAGAGGTTCAAACGGAAAACCATTAAGAACAGATTAAAGATATTCTGAATTACAATCACAGAAGAGATATAATTTATTTTTTAATGTGGTACCCGCATATAAGCCAGAAAAGACACAGGAAATACGATGCCAAAGAGTTAATAAGCTCTTCAGTGTGTTAATTTTAAAGCTTTCCGTTTTTGTAATCACTGCTTCATATGACTTAGGCACAGATGCTGGCTTTGGTCACCAAAAGAAAACCCCACTTAGTGATTTCACAGGCTTACCTCCAGGTTCTGTGCTCTTTCTTTGCTCAGAGGAGCAAACAGAAAATTCAGGTTGTTGTCATCTGCTAAGGAGCGAAGGTCAAAGTAGTATTTGGCATAAACACTGGCAGGAACGTTAATATTAAACTGAAGTAGCTCCAAAAAATGTCTTTCCATCTCATTCCTAGGGGAGGAGGAGATAATAAAACCAACACAGGACAATTTTAGTCAACTGGGCTATTTTCAAAAATATCTTCTAAGCTACTAGGATGGCTCTAAATTCTGTTTTGAAACAAATAAAGGCTAGCAGCTGGATGAATATACTAATGGTCAAACAAGGTGCAGCTATTTGTGGTCCTTTCTGCATCCCCGCAGTCCAAGTTGGGACCAGGGGAATAGGTTTCGGCCCTCTCGCATGCTCGTGCTGTCGACTAGGGGGCTCATTCTTCAGAGCTCCATTAGTGCAGCTGGCGATTCATGTGCCACGCTCACTCACAAGGCCCCACTATAGTGATCAGATGAAAGGAATGATGTATGCTGTTTATTAGCTCTGAAGAACTTGCAGACATTTTCACCAGGCCGATAACAGGAAGGGGCTTATTGAAGTAGAGAGAGCCAACAAAAGGAGTGGGCGCATCACCACGGCAACAAATGGATCCATCGAGAGCCACTGCTATTATCTCTGAGGGGGAAAAACTCTTGAGGCAACAAGGATTTATCTCAAATAAATAAATAAGCTACATTTTATGGGAAACGGAATCCCCCCCCACCCCGCACCGCCCAGTGCATGGGGGGGGCTATGTCAAAGGGCATAATGCAAGTTTCTGCTCACCTTAATCTTACTGGGGTGAGAAATTGTTACTATGATAGGACAAGATGCACTTTTTAAACTCGGGAAGGCAGAAAGATTAAAGATTGATGTCTTGGCTCGATAAACCCACTTTATGATACGAGCTCTGTCTGATGGAGCACTGGACTCACAATGCAAACAGTGTTTCTCCCACAATGGGGATGCGACCCTGAGAGGCTCGGCCTCCAGCACCCCTGTCAGAACAGAATGTGAACACACCCTCAGGGGCGAGTTCAGTGAAGTGGGAGAGGAAAACGCTGGGAGCAGTCCTTTGCTACGGGAATATACAGCCATCACTTGCCAAATGTTTAAGTAAATAAATATAAAATTAGAGTAAGTCTTACCCTTTCACAATAATCCATTTAGACAGTTAATTATATAAAAATGATAAATACCTGAACAAACATGAGAGTCTTATTTTATAACATATTTGATTTCTTGGTTTTAAAGTTTTAGTAGATTAATAATTAATAATATTGACCACTGGATAGGTCCACAGAGGCTTGATGCCTTCCTGTATAGAGGACAGTCAGAACACAAGCAGAGATGAGGTTTTCTCATTTGTTGAACTTGAAACCCAACTGAACCTACTTCCATAATTAATTTCCTGTTCATAGGACTGTAAGTCTATAGAAATGTAAATCAGATAATGTTTTGATAATCAGCTAATCAGGACTTAATTTACTACAGAAGTAAAGGCACTTCACTATCCCTTTTATATTTCCTCCACTAATACATTTTAATTGTGTAGAAATACAGTACTTCATAGGATTAACATGTCTATTAATAGTGGTTTAATCACTGAAGCAAAGTCTCATGCCTACAGAATACGCATCTTCTGGGTTTTTTGTTGTTAAATGGCAGGATGGCTGAATAGCATATCACTTACAGGCATAGCAAATTTTCTGAATAGCAGCTGCTCAGTTTAACTTATTCTTTTGGAGGAAAATATATTCTAACAAGACATATAGATGTTGGAAAGTTTTAAGAAAAAGCTGATAGACACCAATTTTTCAATTTAGACTCAAAATGAGACCATTACAAATAGGAGTTAACAGCGGGGGGGACAAATGTACATGAAACGCTTTGTTGTAAAGCTTTCCAATTTCCCGAGATCATAAACAAGAGCAGTCTGTCACCAACGGAGACCCTGGGGTTTCTCTGTTCACACACGAAGCATTGTCTCCAACAGTCTTCCTGCAGCTGGAGACTGCACCACCACTCCTGGAGCTCATGGCCGGAAAACTCCACACATATCCCAAGTTAAGACTAGAACCAGAGGCCCGGTCAGCACAGTGGCAGGTTTTAAGAAAATTTCAGCTGCCATCATGGCAGGACTGGTGTTCATGATGACAAATTTTCCTTCCTTCAAGGGACCAGTCTAAAGACTGATGACAGTGGTGATCAAAGTCACTTTAGCTTCTTCAACTTCCAAAAGTACTTCCATTCATTTCATTCGTTATTTGCCATCAGACTGTTGCTAAGACGCTACCAGCAACACCACCATGACCACTCAGTTTACACATTATCCAAGTGGGCATTTTCGCCAAAAGCCACTTTGACAGCTACCAACCATCACTGGTCCCTCCTCTTAGTCACAAGGACTCTCACTGCAGTTGTAAATATGCATTTTGCTGATTCTGAATGAGTCTTATCTACAGTGATGGTCAGACGAAACAAAACAAACTCTTGTACTACCCACCAGAATCTTGATCTTCCTGTGCTGTTCAGTAATCAAGCAGTGTTCTTTCACATTTTTCTAAAGTCACCCACAAAGACATTTTCACCATCAAGTGGGGACTTTGAGAGTCTGCTGGAAATGCCTCTTTGGCTCATGCTGCCTGCTGCCCTCAGGGCCCTGTGCAGCAGCCAGGGTGGCCAGATGGAAGCCCTCGTTAGGTGTGGTGTTTCACCCCCACGTCAGCATGCCACCTGTGAGGAGCAGCCTCACAGCTAACCTAGCATGCAAGTGCTGCAGTGGCTGCCAAGTGCCCCAGGAGACTCTCAAATGGAATGGGCACTGGGTGATGCCCAGCGACACTTCTTGGACTGCCTGAGAGGTAGGAGCTTCCTAACTCATCAGACCCATTTTTAAATATGCGCAATACTCCTAATAGGGGAAGAGATAGGAGCACAGGGGCCTGAAACCTTTCCATGTGGCTACTTTTGTGTCATGGTTTCTCTAACACCACAACTTGAGATGAAAAGGAAGGAAAGACCAGCAAAAGCAAATATACAATGTGTGACTCAGGCTGAGGTTATAACCTTCTCAATAGCCTAGAGGCCCTACAACCTTAACAGTGGTCACTTATTTCAAACGTTAGACATGTGTCCCCTTAAAAATGGACCAAAACTGGTAGACAGCTTTAAGAAAGCCATGAAGATATTTACTGTACTACGTTGTTCTGGTAGTAAGCTTGTAAAATGTTTGCCAAAACTCACCAGGAAAACACATTTCAATTTATCAAGCACATTATTACAGTAACACATGAAGACCTATCAATTAATGATTGGAAATATGAATTGTTACACCACAGATGGGTAGACAGGATAGAAAGGAGTATGTAATTTTCTGCCTATTTCAGTTCTCTGCACAATGTAACCTTTAAAAATATTTCTTAAAATTTCAACTTTATGGGAGCAAATGAGGTATTGAAAAATGGTTAGAAAGTTCACCAAAACCTTACAAACTCACATGTCCTCAACTGTAATGTCCTTGAGGATCTGGCAGTAGTCCACATTCCATACAGCCTGATCGTCCCAAACCTTGGAGGCAAGAAGAATGGCTCCCAAAACAATTCTTTTCCAGTTAGTGGGACAAATGTCGATCTCAGCATAAGTTAAAAGCCTTTCTAAGTAAACCTGCAAAAGTAGAGCACTGGTCTTTGATTTTAGTTCAGTTTAAGTGCCGTAATAAGAACTGTTAGGAATGACAGGGTTGTTTTTTTATTCTTAGGTTGTACAGAGACTTTGCTCGGCCAGCCAAAGCCAGAGGCCAGGTCACAGTCCTAAGTCAGAGTCTTGCTGCCTACCCTGCCCATGCGAATGTCCAGCCCAATTTTGGTCACAGGAGTGAATGGCCATCTTAGCAAAGGGCAGCCTGCAGACACGCACAGAGTTACTGCCTTCCCACAAGCAAAGGGCAAGACACACAGCCCAGTGTAGATTCAAGTTGTTAACTTGAGTGCCAACCACATGCAAGGAACCATCCCTGGCTGGCAGTTATGTGATGACTTTACCTAAGATTGGAAAATGTAAAACCCTGGCAGTACTGAGCACATCTTATCTTCTTTTCACGGTAACTAGTCCTTTTGTGGTGCGAGCTGAAGATAAAAACTAGTGGTCAGGGGAGCCTCCCAGTGGTTGCTGTGTGGCACAGCAGGACAGGCAGTACAAACGGGTGCGTTTGAGAAGTCTTCACAACTGTCAAGTGTTCCCATATTTAGTGCCTTTTTAAGGAACACACATGCACACACAGGACAGTCCATGCAATATCCCATCTGTCACATCTCCATGATCATTTCATGGTCATTCCTTTCTGTCTCACATGACCTGCAGCTCAGTCAGTTCTGCGGGTTTGAAGTCGGCAACAGAGCTGCAGGTCTTGGCCTCCCTGGGCCTCCTCCAGACCTGCCAGGCCATTGTGAGGAGATTTCAAGACTTCGTTTACATGTATCAAATGTCCAGTCTACAAAGACCTGGGCGAAGTTAATAGCTGAGTAAGGATTACAGAGGTGAGCTGTGATTTGTTGTTGCAGAGGGTGCTCTGCTGAAGAGCATCTGTGCCCATTTGACGGAAAGGAAAAAGTCCAATTTTAGAGAGTACGTTTATTGTCTGCGGGTTAGCAGACCGACAGCTCAGATTTGCCAGTGTTCTCCCAACTCAACTGTGTTTTCAAAAGCAAATGGTTACAGAATATTTCGTGATTTGTGAAAATCTGCTCCCATGCCCCAAAACTCAGCACTCTCAGGTATCGTAAGAGTGAACTTCCCTGAAAGGTTCAATTTTCTACTTTATGGGAATAATTAGAGGCGCTCATACAACACTTCAACCTCTCAACCTCCCATCCCCTTCCTGGCAAACTTGGTATGTGCCGACACTAATTTATTCCACTTGCCCCCGTGTCAGGGGAACTGAGACTTCTCTTTCTTCTCACTGAAGCTAACTCTTCTACCAGTGAAGTTGATCCCATTCCCACTTCTGCAGAACACTGTTCCCACAACTATCTCTTTTTGGAGAATTTTTCCCTCTTGCCAGACTTTCCCCCCATGAGTGTGTTTACATTTCCCATCCCACCCCAAGAAGCCCCAGAATGCCCCCTCTCACTGTGCTCACAGTAAATGCCCCGCTGCTTGCTTCTCACATCCCATCCTCTCAGTAACCCACTTTAGTCTGCCTCCTGCCGCTATCACTCACTGAAACTGCTCTTGCCAAGGTCATGGGTGCCTTCGCACATGCAAACCAGAACTCTGCATCTCCACTCTCCACCCCCAGCCTTCCCTAACAACGTAAAGGGCACTGCCATTCGCATAGTTGTTGAGGCCAAACACCTCCACTGGAGTTAGCCCACTCTGATCTGTTAGCAATTCTTGTCATCTCTGCCTTCACTGGTAATCTGAGCGCTTCCTCTTCTTACTTGTCACTTCTTACATGTATCACTGTCACTGCCTCCACTGTGACTCCTAACTACAGTGTACTGCCCCCAAGGCAGCCCATATAGCCTCTTAAATAAAGGGCACTTCGCTCTCTGCTCAAGATCTGCCAAAGGTTTTCGACCAAACAAATAAAAATTTAACTTCTTCACTAGCCTGCAAGCTAGCAGGCCCTATAAGATAGGCCATTGCCCTTCTGTGACCTCACCTACACTCTTTCCCTCATTCCTCACTCTGACCACACTATTTACTGTTCCTTCAACACACAAAACATGTTCCCGTCTCAGAGTCTTGCACTTGTCCCCTCTGCCCGTAATGCCAGAGCTCCACATCTTCCACAGTTCAGTCAGGTAACGGTTCAAATGGGACCCCATGAGGAGGCTCCTCCTGATCATCCTATTTAAAATACAAAGCCCCTCTACGCTCTTTAGCCCTTCACCCTGCTTTATCTTCTTGGTATTTACTACTACCTGAAACAGTCATCTTTTTAAAAACACTCATTTAAAAAAAATACTTGTCTTCCTCACTAGAATGTAAGCTCCATAAAGGCAAGACCTTTATTCAACCTGTTTTCTCCTCTCTCCCTAGCACCTAGAAGACGACACAGAGGAGGGAGCCAGTGGTATCTGCAGAATGCACAGCTTCCTGGCAGCATTTAGCATTCAGACCACACTCCCTGGAACCTCTCTCATCTGGCCGTCTCTTCACCACCCTCTTCTGGTTTTCCTACCCCTGTCGCCACTCCTCTGGGACTGATCCCTGAAGTGCTGACAGTCCTTACAGATCTATCTTCTATCTACTTTTTATTCTACACACTTTCTCTGCATTGGAAAAGCTATTCTTAATTCCCTACCTCCACCTCAGATTCATTCTCCAATTCCACATATTCAAATGATTACTAGACACTGCCACTGCGCTGTCTCACAGGTGCATCGAGCTAAACTTGCCCACAAAGAACTCCTCCTCCAGCCGGGCATGACCTGCTCTCCACAGGGAAGCACTATCCCTGCCTCTCTCCAGCATGTGCCAAGCACTCACATGGCTCGTAGCTCCATGAAAAGGCCTGTGTCAGATCCGGCGCCCATGGAGGTCTCTCTACTCAAAGGCCCAAGCCTCCTCTCCTAAATTCTAACTGGATACTAAAGGAGTAGGCACTGACCTAAGTATTCTCTCCCTCCAGACCATGCAGCTGACTTTCTCCTATAGGTTTGCTGTAGGGAGGAATAAAACAATCCCAACCACCTCTTACTAGAATACGATTTATTACTCAAAGTGATAAAATCTCATGATAGGAATTCTGTGTGGATGACACAAAGGTCCTTACACAGCTGTAGCTTACCAGGCTAACTAGTAAAGCCTTTCCAAGTCCTACTGGCTCTCCAATCCTGGGCAACTGCACAGGCAGGCACAAGAGGAAAGCAGGGGTGGATAACACCCATCACCCAAGGAAGAGAGAACTTAGGGCAGCAGTGCTCAGTCAGGACACACCTCAGAACTGCCGAGGAATACAGCCTGGGACGCAGCTTAGACCTGCGTGGAATCAGTCTGCCTGTGGACCAGATGGTTCTGTTATTGCCCCCATCTCACCCTACCAGCACACCGGGTGGGGTGGGGGTGGGGTGTGTGTGTGTGTGTGTGTGTGTGTGTGTGTGTGTCCTGAGGTGTGGAGGGGTGTGTGTGTGTGTCCGTCCTGAGGTGTGGAGGGAGAAACCAGAAATCTCTCCTGCTGCCTTTAATAGCAATTGTTTTGTGATGAGAAAAGCAATGGTAACATTTTAAATCATAATGATTAAGCTTGAATGTGTGTATTTTACTTTCCTTTGATGGGTTTCTCTTAATAAAGCTCTGATGATCATTTGAGGAACTTACTTTCATTTGAAAACCAGAACCATACCCTGTGTACAAGACAGAAATTTCTAAAGATGCTTTATGAAAGAAGAAATATCTTACCAAAGTTACTATTGCACATTCAGCTGTTAGCTGTGCAGCACTAAAAAGAGTACGAACAAATCTGTAAATAAATTTGTGTTCAGGATCATGCTCGAAGTATTCCTCTGGAATCTTTTCTCGCTGGAAGGAGAGAAAATGCGAAAAAGTATCCACTGAAGAAAAATACTTAAGTACCCTTACAACAGCAGTCTTCTACTTGTGCCCACGTGCCCCTTAAAATAAGCGTCATTGGGTGAGACGTCTTTCAGTCTTTTATATATAAACCATGAGATCTTAAATACCATAATGATTCAGTACTCAACACCATCCATTAAAGAAAAATACAGGGACAACCTGGGAAAATCAACACAGTCATGCCTCACTTAACAACAGGGACATGTTCTGAGAAATTCTTCATTAGGCAATTTCATCACTGTGTGGACATCACAGGGCACTTACACAAACCTAGATGGCACAGCCTACTGCACACCCAGGCTATATGGTGCTAATCTTATGGGAGCACCGTCGTATATGCAGTCCATTGTTGACCAAAACGTTATGTGGCACATGACTGTGTATATTCCTTTCCACCTTGTCTCCACAGAATTCTATCTAAATGTAAACTATTTTTAGGTTCAAAAGTCTTTGCTGATCACCATTTATCATACTTATCTGCAAACACCTTTGAGAAAACATTTTCAGTTCCTTGTAATCATAAGGCTCTAAGACTATGCTGGCCTACATAGTACTCACCAGCCACATGTGGCTATAGAGCACCCACGGAAGTGAATTTTAAAATTTTTGTCATCTTAATTGATTTAAAATTTAAACATTTTCTAATTTTCTTCATAGAGATCTTAACATATTTGTTAGCTTTATTCACAAATATTTACATTGTTTGATGCTATTTAGAAAGATACATTTTCTATTATTTGGGTACAGTTACTCACCTTAGCTCACTAATTATGCAAAGCTGCAATTCAGTTCTTACTCTGTCATATCCCTTATACAACATTCCTTTTGTAAAATGATCAGATACAGCATGGGATGGGCAAGAAGACTGAAAGGAAGATGATTTAGACTTCAAGCTGGAGGGAGTAATTTTCTTCTAGTAATTAATTTCAAAGTGAATCAGCATGAAATAAACACGACTGTATGCGAGGAAAATAAAATTTCAACAAAACTGACACTTACTGTGAGTGGATGTGATCTCTCATCAAAAATATCCAAGGATCGATTTGCATCTCTATAAAATAAGAATGTGCATTTAAAAAATGAATCCAGGAATTGTTAATATCCTAGTAAAATATCTGCTGGGAGTAGACAGGGGGGAGAGAGGAGCTTAACCTTCAACAAAGCAGTTTTACAAATTATTCCCCTGGATTCTGTTAGAGGGTTTCCTCACCTCTTTTTACTTAGAATGTCAAATTCTATGAAATCTTTTCCACAACGACCAGCCTGAGTTGCCTTTATAGGCACTGACCCACCCTAACAGGCAATGCCAGTAACCCAAACGTATTTCCACCCTCTAGCCTCACACTGGGACACATGAGAACATTTTCTGGTGCGGCATAGTGGGCAAGTCTTTGAAACTTCAACGAATGTGAGTGAGACTCATGCTTTTTCCCTCTTTTTTCCCCTCTTCACATTGCTATATTATATTCTTATCATCTCTTTTTGTCTCTTTTAAATAGTTTAAGTTAAAAACTTAATTCTCTTTTTATTTAAAAGAGACTAGTCTTTTTATTTAAAAATCCACCACACTAACACATTGTGCTCATGTAAACAGGGGCTCTCCACGTGTGGTCTGCAGGCCTCTGGGCTCCCCTAGACCTCCTTCAGGAGGCCCATGAGATCAAAACTGTTTTGATAGGAATACTAAGATAATACCTTACACAGTCTGACATTTGCAATGATTACTTTAAAGCAAAAGTGGGTAAAACTACTGGTTTCTGAACATGAATCAAGGCTGGGGTACCAAACTGTAAAAATAAGTTATTTGTTTCCGATGTTAAAATTCAAGCCAAAAATCAGGATTTGGGAAAACTTGTACCTTCTATTGTGAGCTTGACAGTTTCTCAATACTTTAAAGACTTTTCTCATAAGATTGGTGGTGATAATTTTAAAAAGTGAGTTTTTGACACTGTATAAAGAAATGTGAACCAATACTTTCCAAATGGCCAATTCATAATATTGTAAAATCACATAGAGGTAAAAGATCCATTCAACATACAAGACAGATCAATGGGTATTAATGTAACATGCTTACTACAAGTTCACTGATATGATTTAAAATTCCACTGTAACTAATTTAAGAAACTATCACTCTCTGGTATAGTATCAAAGAATATACCTACAATTATCTTAAGGCTTTAAAAATACACCTTTTTTCAACTATATCTCTACATGAGGCTAGGTCTTCTTCATTGTTTCTTCAAAACAAATGACTGAAATGACCGAAGTGATTGCAAATGATTGAAGACAGAGTAGTTATGAGAATCAGCTGTCTTCTATTAAGCCAGACATTAAAGAGATTTGCAAAAATGTAAATCAACGACACACTTTTCGCTCAACATTTTTTATTGTGGAAAATAAGTTATTTTCATAAAAAATATTATTTATCTTAACACTGTGGTTCCCAATTAGGGGTGATTTTGTCCCCCAGCAGACATTGGCCACGGTTGGAGACATTTTTGGTTGTCACAATGTAGAGTGCGGGAGAGCAAGTAGAGGCCAGGGATGCTGCTAAATATCCTATAAAGCACAGGACAGCCCCCCACAACAAAGAATTATCTAGCTCAAAGTTCAATAATACCATGAAAACCCTGAAAATATAATGGATGAAAACCATGGAAATATAATGGATTTAATTTTTAAATTCTCAATTTTAATTTCCAGTATAGTAAATATCAATATAAGCCACACAAATACTCAATAATGTAAGTGTTAAGAATCCTAAGACCAAAAACAAATGATTCACTTCAAATTGTAATAAAAGCATGCTATAGCTTACTGTAATAATGTCTATAATTATTTCCTAACACTGAACTTAATATCTTGCAAATAAATCAGCTGGAATAACAAGACAGGTTTTAAAAGAGCTCACCTGTTCTTTATGTGGTAATATATTGCTAAGGTCACACTGTGGAGGAAAAAAAAAAGCGGTAACAATTGATGTTTATCATCTTAGACCTGAAGACATTATTTTAAAGGGGTTGGGGGAGGGAAGATCTTTCCAGCTGCCCAGTGGCCCTGTAATCCTCTAATTCAGAATGGGCACCATAGGGCACTTTTAGCCTCATTTTAGTTCTTTGGCTTTAGAAAAAATAGGAGAATCAAAATGCTAGGTAATATGCTGTTAGATGACACGTTTTGGTTGATTCTTCAATATATGAATTATTACATTATTTCCCCTGTCATTTGCCCTCCTACCCAAAGGAGCTTTCATCCTGTACAAGTTTCATTCATTTGTACACATGCTTAAATTTAAGCCACACAGTTTTGTGGGTTTTTTTTTTTAAGGTTGTTAGGCTCTACATTTCAGTTGATTTAGCTCACTATCCACCTACCCACCCATTTTCCATTATTTCCCTAAAAGTAAATAATGACGTGTTCTATACTAAATATAATCATTTTAAATCACATATACATAATCATCAGAAAATTCAATAACAAATATAAGTGCCGACAAAACTGAAGATAGGTCTAGATCTCCTGAAATAAGCAGTGCCAACAACACAGCGTAGTATTACACAGTATAATATTAATGACAGGTATTTCCAAATTAGTTTAAATGAAATGTTAATGAAGAGGTCTAAGTCCTCAGACCCTCTTCAAGCCACTGAGCTCCTCACAGAGTTGTGCACGAGGCAACAAAGGGGTTCTCCTGGTCAAGTCCGATGCTTCCCTTTGCCCTCAGTGTCTAAAATGAAGCTCAAAGTAGTTGAGGGAAGGCAAATCTGAATTTGACAACTAGGTCTATAGAATACTGGTACTTGTAAAAAGGCCTATTATATTGTCAGCATCAAAGATGGATACTTCTATAGTGCTTCAAACAGTTTCATCTTTAAACTGATTTTAAAATCACAAAATTCAGTTATATACTGAAAAGGACCACTGAATCTTAGATGACATTTAATTCAACAACGCGTTTTACAGGTAAGGGAACCAAGGCTTAAAGCTGAGTTGCCCAAGGTCCCATCAATAGTCAGAAGCAGTTCTTCTTTCTCCTACACTCCAGCCAGGCAGTGGTTCGCAAGCTTGGCCGCACACTGGGATTACCTGCGGAGCTTTAAAAACTGCCTAGCTTCCACCTCTGGATGTTCTGATTTAACTGGCATTGGGCATGACTTGGGCACCAGGATTGTTTTTGAAAGCTCCCCAGGTGATTGCAACATGCAGTAAAGTTTGGGAACAAATGAGTTGGGGTTAAGATCAGACTCACCTGGGATGCTTTGGTCCACATAATCATGCCTCACACATTCTTCCTCAGCGTATCAAAAGGCTTGGGGGCGGGGGGCGGAATGCATGTGTTTGCGTAAGTGATTCTAATAAGGCCCATCTACCCCACTGAGAACAATGCACTAGTACCCCATGATAAACATTTTTCAAAATCATTCATAAAAGCCACTTTGCCCTATTATTTTTCTCAGTAAACCTTTATTTCACTACTAATGAATGTACTGGATGATCATTTTTATCTTTATTTATTCATTTATTTATTTGACAAGAAGAGTGGCTCTGAGCTCCCATCTGTGGCCAATCTTCCTCTTTTTTGTATGTAGGACATCACCACAGAGTGGCTTGACGAGTGGTGTGTTGGTCCGTGACTGGGGTCTGAACCTGCCTTAATAAGAGCAAATTAAAACTTATTGTACATCTAAAAATTAGACTAACTTGGGGAAAAAAGCATGAAACCTACTTGTCTGAACAAGGTTAATCTTTAACACTACTCTTTTGAATTCAAAAGAAGCCGTGAACTCTAGCCAAAGTAGAGATTTTACCCATGGATTTAGTTTCTTGGTTGAATAAAAACATTCAGTGATTACTTAACAGGTGCCAAAGCTCAGGACTTTAGAGAGAGATGGAGCTCAGTTTTTGCTGAAATACAATTTTATCTCAACTACTGTTCTAAGTGAGACAGGAAAGTTACATTATTATGATTGTGAACTTGCTGTTTTTAACTAAAGTAGAAGTATTGATAATTTAATTAGCTTAAAAAGCTGGCACATTAGAAACAAAATTAAGTTTATAAGCTAATTATGTTTTTAAGACTGAAAAATAAAATCAGGGAAAAGGATATTAATATTTTCAAGTAGCAGTTCCCAAACTGGGTTCTGGAAAATCAACACTCATATCCCAAGAAGACATTAACCTTGGACAACCCCAAAGGAGTCAGGAAGCTCTGCACCCCGCTTTTTTTCCTCCCTTAAGTAAGTTTCAAAGGTTCGTCTTAGGGTGTTTTGAAAGTGCATCTCCAATTGTGTACTAAGAGGTACTCCCGGAAATCACGACACTGTTCATTGTTTGCTTTAGTATAAACCTGACCACAGCTGTGTTTCCAAAACTTCATCACTGTCATTGTTCTCTGCTGTGATTTTCTTATATCTATGGACTGATACCATAATATATTTCCACACATGTATAAAATTAAATTAAATCTATTAAACTAAAACCTCAAACAAATTTCATCCATAAAGAAATTAAGCTTGAGAATTTGTTCCTTAAGACTGGCTTGATATATTTCCCCCCTCTTTGGGGTACAGGAAGGAGAAGTGAATTTTCAATTCAGAAATAGTGCAGGAAAAAAATGCACAATGGGGAAAATCTGACAAAATCCAACTAAATTTAAATGCAGATACACTCTGGTGCCAGTAGGGGACAAGCTAAGCTGTTCCTTCTTCCAAGAGTAGCTTCCAAAGCAGTATACATTGTTTTAGGCCAATATCTCATAAAGAAATAATTTTTTCTAGAAACATCCAATAAAAAGAACCTCTCCTTTTCATTATGTTCAACAATATCTTAATAACAGAAATGCATCAAATAAAGATGTATATACTTCAGGGATTTCTTATTTGCTAACTGGCTTTGCCTTCCACCATGTACTCTAAGATTAAAATGGAAATTGAAAATTCATATTTAGGTCCTTGAAATCAATAGATAATTGACACCAGTTTCTTCACTTGATCACTGAAAAGGACACTCAAGTGATTAAAATGGCATGTGGCTAGGATGCTTTTAGTAAAAGGGGGTCTGTCACTCAGTCCTTGGTAACCTAGATGTACTCACCATTTTATTGTGGTTCTAAGATTAGGCTGGCTGACTGTGCTGTCATCTAGAAATATTGTTGAGCATGAGCTATACTTTTTAGTAAGCTGCCCTGGAGATACCTGAAGGGGAAGGGAAATAGAAGAAAATGTCACAGTAAGTTAAACCTATAGAAGTGTGTTTTTTCCTTGGTTAAAATGTCAAACGATTAACCATTAAGACTTTTCTTACACTTCATGAACTGCCTGAGTGTGACTATCATGTGCAGCTCTATGGGAAACCCAGTGGATACTCGAACTTCCACAGACGAGATTTGAGGAATGGGTTATAAAATGCTACCCTTGAGATAGTGCCTATAATCAAACTTGCCAAGCACCTATTATAAATTCCCTTTACAATAATGTAAAAAATTTAGGATAAGATTTCAGTGTTTTTTTCTTCAGCGAGGGAAAGCAGCTGAGATTTTCTATTCTTAATGTTCATTTACTACAATAAAATGTGATACCTTACATAATACCGAAGCAAGAGCATTTTATTGCAGTAAATGAAAGCCAATAGTAAATATATTAGTTCAGGAGATAGTGTGATGAAACAAACATTTTTGAGGCAGAGGCTTGCGCACCAGGGCGGCTCCATCACTACCTACAAGTCAGGGGGCCATGGGTCTCTCTGGGCCTCAGTTTCCTTAGTTGGAGGACAAAAGAGTATTGTTTTAAGATTCTCTCACATCCAAAAAAACAGATAAAACAAAGGTGAGAATTTTCACTTCATGTTAGGTAAGACTGTCATTACATTACTCAAGCGAGAACCTCAGAGAATACTTTCTATTCATTTCAAAATTTTATTGATTCTATTCTGTAAGTTATTTGACACTCACCACACTTTCCTGCCCCACTCATGCGGTTCCCTCGGCCCACAATGCCTTTTTCTTCCTCCTTGTCTCAGCGAGCTTGATCCCATCTACCTCCAGGATATATTGCCAGCAGCCACACCACAAAATACCTCCCCTTCTGTGCGCTCACACATCTGATTTGCCACTTGTCACATGATATCAATTGCTTGCAGGGTATTCCCCACATAAGAAAGTAAATTTCTCCAGGGAAGAGAGGACTCTTTCCTCTCTCCTACCTCCAAGTGCTGTGCACAGAATACAGGACAAATCAGGAGTTCCACAAGTGTTTGAAAAATTACTTAAAATCAATTACAACTGGAAGGTTAATCTTACTACAGATACAAATTAGTGAGAATTTATCTGCAGTGGTATTGGAAAGGTGACAATGAACTTTTTGAGACCCTCTAAAGAATAAACTATCTTTAAAACACTTTAGAAGTATCCATTTATTCATATAGAGCCCAAGAACATAGCACTGGTAAAATACTGAAATGGCCTCAACTATGTGAGGACAATTCTATTTGTTAAAGTGAGGCCAATAACCAAATCCCAGTCACTGTCAGCAGTTGATAGTAACAGTAGCATTCTTTAATACCACAGAATACCATCAATTTTTGCTTGGTTTGTTTAATTCAGATGAGCCTTCCTTCTTTCTATTGATATATAACAGTTCTCACCATGCTGTCACACTCTCTCATCAGTATCACCCACAAATACACAAAAAATGAGGCAGGGAGAAAATCTAGTTGATGCTTTTTAAAAATACAGAGCATTTAAAAATTGCCAGTAGCCAACAATCAGAAATATCCATATGGTATATAAAACACCATTTTGCTTGTTTCAGATGTTTTACCATGAAGCTACTTATTAACAAAAAGTTCCAGACATTATATTTTTGAAAAGAATCACTATTTGGAGTACTAAATTGTCCTTCAAGCTAGAAATGTTTTAACTATATCTAAAACTCTGATATGTTCCTTAAGCCATTCAGTTAATAGGTAATTTAGTTTCAGAATCTCAAAAAATGAATACAGCATGAAAAATAAAAACTAATTCATTCAAATACTTTTATTCCAAATGGAAGAACAGTCTTTTTTAAGGTCACTACTATTAGGGTGTACTACGACGTACACTACACCATAATAAAGGTCAGTTCTGACCAACACCTATATGGGGGGAAGAGAAAGAATAGGAAGGAAATGCACCAAAATGTAGATGAGTTTGGTAGAGCTTTGGGTGATATTTGCACCCATTTTCCTGTATTTAAATTTTTTTCTATTATGAATGTATATTGGTTTGTCTTTGAAAGTATTAGTGCTTCATTTAAGAATTTTAATTAGATGTGGTCTTACAGCCCTATGGGGGCTCATTTAGGTAAATTAGCAACTTACAGTCCACTGGCTAGATCCAACCAAAGAAACACAGAACACTTGCTCATCCATCCAGGCTTACTCCCAACTACTCAAACTTTTCAGTATCAAGTACCTCATACTTACTAGAAGGTGGCAGAGCTACGCCTCTGAGCAAAGCCTGGGTATATTAGCTGCCACAGCAGGTTACTTTCCCCTCATCTTGCTTAAAAATTTAAGACAACTGTCTTTATGGTTAAAGCCTTACCATTGCTGGCTCACAACCTCAATAAGCTACACTGATAAACATAAGGATATAAAATGCAAATACCAAAAAAAATCTAACAGCAAAAAACACTACTGACAGTTTAGTGTGCATAGGTATTATTTCAGCTGGTCACTAGAATAGACAGGGACAAAGAATACTATTTATCTCACTCATTCAGCACTAATGACAGAAAAGAGGGACTTCTACAATCTTTACAAGGAAGCGAAGGTGTTACTTAGAAGACAATGTTCAATGGCAAAGACTAGAAAATAATCATGCCTACACGTCTAGTGAGTCACAACCCAAACCTCACTGTCTAGTACCTACTGAAATCCTGAGCCCGTCTACTGACTTTTCCTATTGTGCTTCCTGCCTCCTTTTAACCCATTACAAAATAAACTGAAGTTCACTTTTTTCTCTCCCCTTTTTCACAAGTTTTAGATATGTTTATTAAGAATTAATGACTTTTAATTAACAATTTCTAACACTTTATGCATTAATGAAAACTACTCCATCTACATTGCACGTTAATGGGACAATATGGCAGGGTGCATGGTTTGAAAAGAATTCTTAATGAAGGCCTTACTAGAAAAGTGTAAGATGCTAATCACAGGTATAACCAAAAATATTGTCTGAATTAATATAATTAATTATATTGAATTAAAGCTTTAAACTTCAATTTACACTTTAAACACAGGTTCAAAGTTTGAGATAAACATGGTGGACTGACCAGAAATCTGTTTCCTCTCCCCTTCCTTTCAATCTCATTAGAATTAAAGGCATAAAAAAAAGGTTATACATACGACAGAATAAACAGCAGATGGTTTTTAACGTTTGAAAGACGAAAAGACTAGATAAAGGAGTGGTAACTGACATGGCAGAACAGAGGAAGCACAACCTTGGGCCTTGAGAAAGTGACTGGGGGGACAGGAGAGGGAAAGCCAGTTTGTCCTAGAGAACCCAGGTAAGGTTCAGAATGCAGAGGCTTGGCCCCCAAATCCTTGCAGTGAAGCCCATCAGTTAACAAAAGTCCTGTTCACTCATGGTGCTTCCATTTAGATCTGAAGAGACAGCCAGGGACCAATACACATTTGAGCGAAGGCTACAACAAGTAAGAGAGATCAAATTGGAAAAAGGAATTGATGGGAGTGATAAAATTCAGGACAAATGAAAACTTAAAAAAAATATTCTTAAACACTCTTAGAAAGACAAGAAATTGCATTGGTGAAAAAACCAAATGCTATTAAAAAAAAAAAAAAAAAGAATGGCAGACTACAAGAGAACTCTACAAATTAAAAATAAGATAGGGGCCGGCCGGCCCAGTGGCACAGTGGTTAAGTTCGTCCATTCTGCTTTGGCAGCCCAGGGTCTGCTGGTTTGGATCCTGGGTCTGGACATGGCATCGCTTGGCAAGCCATGCTGTGGTAGGCGTCCCACACTTAAGTAGAGGAAGATGGGCACGGATGTTAGCTCAGGGCCAGTCTTCCTCAGCAAAAAGAGAGGAGGATTGGCAGCAGTTAGCTCAGGGCTAATCTTCCTCAAAAACAATAAATAAATAAATAAAATTTTAAAATAAAATAAAAATAAGATAGACAAGACAAAGTATTCAATGGAAAGGTTAGAGCATAAGGTCAAGGAAATCTCTAGGAAGTAGAACAAAAATAGAAAATAGGAGGGGAAAAAAACTAGGATCTATGCAGGAATACTGGTCTAAGAGTTCCAACATCTAAATAATAGGAATACTAGGAAAAAGAAGGAAAAGAGAAAATATCAAAGAAACAAAAAAATTCACTAGAAGGAGAGACAGTCTGCAGACTTAATGGCCCCAATAAAATAAAAAGGTCCATACCAAACCATATTACGAAATTTCAGCATCCCAGGTATAGAGAAGGTACTAAAACTTCCAGAGAAGGGAGGAATGGGGGGAAAATGACTAAAATTGGTAATGTACAATGTATCATACAAGGTAAACAGCTTTAAGAACAACACTGTAAATGAGAAGACAACAGAAATGTCTTTAGAACTGCAAAACCTGGTTTCCACCTAGAATTCTATACTTTATAAAATAGGCATTTCAGAAAGGCTAGATCTCTAAAACTTCTGCCCTTGTGCCTTCCCAGGGAAATGTGCTCCAGTAAAACAAGGCAGTGCACCAAGACAGAAGGAAACGCAGAATCTAGGATATACAGAATTCAACACAAGAGAGGAATCACCTGAGATCCCAGATGACTCCAATGAGATATCGTGGGAAAAGAGGCACAGAGCAGGCTCAGAGAAAACCAGTCCATATTGGAGCAGGGTGACAAGAGGCTGGAGACAGTTGTCTCCAAGAAAAACGTGGAACAGATATGTTTAGGAGATGGGAAATATTTCTGATAGGCATGTGACAAATGTTACAACATTTGGGGAAAATAATAGCAGTTAGACAACAGGCAAGTGAATATAGTCACGAAATTAATGCCACAAAAAAACCGAAGAGATATTAAGTTAACGCAGCATAAACGTACTTCTGTCTGATAGTCATCATTCTCTGTCAAATCACCAGATTGTGAAGAAAAAAAGGAACATGGAAGCAGGGAGATCAGCCAGGGAGCTACATACCGCATTTGGCTGTATGAACCACACTGGCCAGGAAGAGGGGGATTGGGTTATCCTGGAGAAGTGCAAAAGCACTCAGATTTCACTAATATTGAAGAAAAAGAATGAAGGGCGTACAGGAGGAGGCACAGTCAGAGAACTACATGGTTCCGCCGTGAAGTATATGCACAGTCATTGCATTGATTCTGATTTAATAAAGACCAGGATACATGCTGACGGAATAAAGGGAGGGAAAGAAGGCCATGGTGGAGGGAGGAAGCTAGGCTTTCCGCTATGACAGGAAGCCAACAGATAGTGCTAAAAATTAACTTAGCAGTTACACTTTTTTACTTTCATGAAAAAGATAAAAAAATTAAGGCAAAAAAATTTACAGCAGATCTTTCTACCACAACCATGGTACTGATATTTAACTTAAGTGTCAGAACACCTAAAAAAAGGGCACTACTAAACCAAAGACTTTCCTGAACACATTTGATAATTAGGAAAATAGAGGAGATTTAGAAAATCTACAAAAAGAGGTCCATGGTAACAGTATTGGGTCCACTGTATTTCTTAGGAATCATGGTAGACACACTTTTAATTCAAACCATTAATTTCTTACTTAACTTTTCAACTGTTTACTTACATGGTTTAAATGGTTGCTCTTCCTCTTTTCTCGCACTAAGAATAAAAAAAATTAACTGATCAATTCTAATACAAATGCCATAGAAAAATAAAAGTAGTTGCTAATTATCTGACGGATTACCAACATAAAAATGAGATAAAATGCTATTCTATTTTTTTATATTTCCAACAAAATTTATAATTTAAATCACCTGGCAAGATGAGTCCCACGAAGCAAAATCTAAAAACTTAGTTTTACTTTTGGACCTAACAGATATTCTACATTAGGTACAAATGAAAGACTCTCCAGATACAAAAGAAAAATGCAAACCAAATTAGACCAGGTGAGCAATTCAGCTAATAAAAAAGTTTACCTGTTGCATAGCTGATCCACTACCCAGTAATAGTTTCTAAGTCTACATTTACACACAGCTTGCTTTAATTACCAGGATCTAACAGCTGACAGCTCTAAGAACCAGTTTCTGGCCAGGCACTAATCTCTAGATACACCACCCTGGAAGCATCCTGAACCACTCACAGGTAATCAACTAAAATACCTTACTAAAAAAAAAAGTGGGTCTTTACACAACTGGAAAGTAACCTAACAAATTTAAATTTTAAAATGAGTGTGCAAACCCAGTTGAACATATCTACAGCACACAAAACCATTTTGCTCTAACAAAGGCCAGAAGAACAAAGCTCCAAAGAGGTCTTGGGCTGCACTTTGTCCCCACACTGCCTCCTCTGCTGCGTCACAGGTACACACTCCGTATGACTGAGAAGAGAGGGACGTGACAGCTTTTCTTTCACTGTCTCCACTCTCTCTCTGCATGTGAGCGGCCTATGGCCTGGAAGAAACTGAGAAATACCGCAATCCTAAGCAGAAACGGTCGGCTCAAGACAGGCAAAGCATACACACTATGAAAACACAGGTTAAAAACCTCCATTTTTTATTGCACTGCATTACGTCAAATACTATGGAACCCTCACTTCTTATATTCCTGCTGTCATAATCAACTGAAAAACCTGGTTATGTATGGCTTCTTAGCAAATAAACTCAATTTAATAACACATCAAGGAAAATAAGCAGGCAAGCAGGAGTGCTAACCACTCCTGCAGTTCTGCTTCTCATCTTTACAAGGAGGACACAGGACACTGCACTAGTTTCACACGCTGAGGCTAGCCTTACAGGAACCTAGGGGGCATGCTTGCTCTGACGCACCTGGCACAGCATTCCATGAGGATAAGAAAGTTCTGAATAGCTTAAAAGTTCTGAGTAGCATACATCTGGATGTGAGAGAGGCTCATTTGGTTGAGCGCTGTAAAATGGGACCAAAGTCACATATTCAATCTGCATCAATAAACACTTGATTTTTTTGATTTGTTCAAATGAAAACCTGTGACAAATCTCATCATTCATCTTTAAAAAATGTGCTCTTTGGAGCAAGGGGAAAAGGAAAAAGTAGTACAGAAAAATAGACTCCATCTAAACCATGTGACCAACTGACCGTGTTGATAAAGAGGTGGCAAAAAGTGTAAACAGATAGTCTTGTGTTCACATCACTAAAGCAGTGGCAACCAAAGGACAATGTACCATCACATATTAAAGTAAGACAAGTGAATACATGAAAAAGTAAAACATTTAAACCAGTGTATAAGTTCTTCTAAATACTTTCTATAATACATAAAAACAGTTTTCAATCTTTTTCTCAGGGTAAAAAAAATATCGTCTTACCATCTGTTTGAGATTTGCTCAGGAAAATTGTGCTTGCCCTTGGATGGTCAGAAGGGTTTGATTCCAAAGCTAAGTCTGCATAGGAAGAAGAGAAAAAGGTATGATAATTTAGTTGGAGAAAAATACATGATTTTTAAAATAGCTACGCATCAATTATAATTGCTTTTAACAATCTTGGGAAGAGTTTCAAGTAATGATATAAAGCCAATTTTAGTAAAGGTAACAATATAAAAATTCTACTGGGAAACTGAAAAATTATAGAATCTCTGCCTACATGTGGACTAACACCAGGCTATGTCTTTAATAAAATAAAACCAGACTTTCTTAAACTTGCACCTAAATAATCTATGGCAACTTTTAGATGAATCATATATGTGCTTTCCTCCTGCTTATCAATCAGAAATAGTCACCCTTCTTTATGCTGATATTACTAGCACATTCCAGGAACATCTCAAGAATCAAGTTATGCTGTGACCAATTAGCATCAGATAAGAGCTAATATATCAAATATATCAAAACAAAGTGAGGTTTTTTAGCAAATGTTAGAGAATCAAATGGCTAATTCCATTCAACAAGTGAACTCAGCTGTGGTTTATTTAGGGGCTATTCATCATGGCAGATGTAAGAGGATGTTCTAATCTTTAGGAACACTTCCACGACAGAAACTGATCTTTAACTTTTGCCCTGAACATCCAAAGCTAAACTCTCATCTCTTCCTTCCATGCCACATGATTACTTTGGGTCTTCAATAAAAGTACTTTCTGGAGCAGATCATGGGGCCACTTGTAAAAAAATTTTGGCCGTACCTACGTAAAGGTAGGTCTGCCTGCAGTCCACCTTGTACCAAGGTGGGATAGTCTTCTATTGAGGCAAGAATACAAAGCAGGTACTTGAATTTTCATAAAACAAAGTTCGCCACTATATGGGATAATAAAGTTGCCATTAAAAAAAAACTAACAACCCTATGACACTCCTCAGCAATGTCCACCTCAAACCACATAACCAATCTTCTAAGAAACTGGACCAACGTCCTGATAGAGTAATGGTTAAGGCAATACTTCACAAATCACACAATAATTGTTCTGTTTTTTAAAAGGAGGATGGTGGTCAAATCGAAATACACTATGTCCCTGGTTCTTAGAGAATCAAAATGCACACTGATAAATAAAAAACTACTCAGTCTAGTAGAAATCCTAAGTCAGGATTTCACAAATTTTTCTACCTAGAATCCTTTTTTCCTGCAAGTTATTACAGTTAGAATCTGCACAAACATAATTTGGGACTTCCTCTTTTAACAGGAATCTGAACCATCCATTTTAATGATACTGCCAGCACTAGAAATTTACATAGCTAAACCAAGTGCTTTGTTCTTCAAGGAAATTCCTTCACTGAATTTGAAGTTTACTGAACTGCTTTTGAAGAAACTATTCTATTCAACATTTTTATGTAAAAGACCCATAAAAATTATTTTTTCCCACATTTTTGAAAAACAGACGATGTTAGCTATTTGGAAAAATAAATTCATTCAGTTGTGCACAAAGTGACTGGCAGAGACTTTCAGAGCTGCCTCTAACCTAAGGCTTCTTAGGATTCATGGACTACTTCCTACCAAAAAGAAAGCAAATATACTGCATTTGAACCTAAAAAATAAGCAGAAATGTTTGCATTAGTAGCCACATTATGTATCAGTGCCTATGGCACAATAAAGTTTAATTAAAAGTTTTCAGGGGCCAGCCCATGGCCGAGAGGTTAAGTTCGCACACTCCGCTTTGGTGGGCCAGGGTTTCGCTGGTTCAGATCCTGGGCATAGACATGGCACCGTGCCATGCTGAGGTGGCGTTCCACACAGTACAAACAGAAGGACCTGCAACTAGAACATACGACTATGTACTGGGGGGCTTTGGGGAGAAGAAGAAGAAAGAAAAAGAAAGAAGATTGGCAACAGATGTTAGCTCAGGGTCAATCTTTAAAAAAAAAAAAAAGTCCTTTCTCAAATTAAAAAATAAAGTATAAGCTTCTGAGGATTATGTTTTTAAAAAAAGTTTTCAATAGGAAGTCCAGGAAAAGTAAGTACCAGAATCAAAGGAGAAGCAGGCTTAAACACACACACACACACCCCTCCCCCAAACCAAGATGTGTTACTATGGATCTAAATACAAAAATCAAGAGGGTTAGGGTAAAAGAAAGGACAACACACAGAAAAAAAGCAAAACTAGCCTGGGGACAGGAACAAGCTGACACTCTCACTACCCTACCTAGGCTTCTAGGATGGGCATGTGCCCCACAGCTGCCCATCACTCACAGTTGCCCTGAGACCTCCAAGAACCAGAGGAGAAAGGCAGTGGTGAACTCCAGGAGCCTTCGCAAGTCTGGAGCTGCTGGACACTCCCTTTCAGGAGAGATCAAGAAAGGAGAGCAGAACTGAGACAGGTTCTGGGATCATTTAATTCCTGGGTCAAGGAGTACCTAATTTACTCCATGAACTCTGGTTATACAATATATTTTTTTTAATTTAAGCTATTTTTTTTTTAAAGATTATGGTTTTTTCCTTTTTCTCCCCAAAGCCCCCCGGTACATAGTTGTATATTCTTCCTTGTGGGTCCTTCTAGTTGTGGCATGTGGAACACTGCCTCAGCATTGTTTGATGAGCAGTGCCATGTCCGCGCCCAGGATTCGAACCAACGAAACACTGGGCCGCCTGCAGCGGAGCGTGCCAGCTTAACCACTCGGCCACGGGGCCAGCCCCTTAATTTAAGCTATTTTGAGATAGATTTTCTTTAACTTGCAACTGAAAGAGACCTGTTTAAATCAGCGGTACTGATGATCCCACTAAGAGTGGGGTTAAGTAAAGGTCACCTGCTCATTCCTTTAACAACTATCTTATCAAGAACAGAAATCTGCAAGAGCCAAAATAATGCTTTGTTTAAAAATTACCCATAAAGTCTCAACCATTACTTTTAGTAACTTTTCTTTTACCTTTTTAAAACAAACAGTTCTAATCAGTGTATAATTTATGTCCTCTTTGTTACTGAAAACCAATCTCCATCCCACTGCAGCATATTTACTGTTTATTGATACATAACGGCTCATCAAGTGCTATTCTTGTATTGAGGAATCCCTGTTGTTGGGGTTCAGGTGCTTACAAAGTTCTATTCTTACAATATTATGAGGAAAATCTTCACGCAGTGTTTTTTTAATAATTTTTTTTATCTCCTTAGGAAAGATCTTCAAAATGGGATGACTAGATCAAAAGGTCAGATCATTTTCATGGCTCAATGTATGATACTAAGCTGCTTTCTATATTAGTGTATAATACTATCAATCATGCCAGTTTTAGCTCCTACACCAGCTTTGGATACTTGAAAAAAAAATTCCTACCGATGTGAATGAGAAGCCTCACAGTCTCTTATTTGCATTTCTTTGATTACACAGTTTGACCATTTTCCCATAGTTAAGAGTGCTATTTCCACTTTGGTGAGTTGCCTATTATTTGTATATACTGTATGTATTGTACCCACTAGGGCTCCTATGTCAATTTGCATGAGGTTTTCTCAGAGAATATTAATCTTCTATCTATAGCCTAAAACAATTTTCTACATAACTTGCACTTTTTACTAGTGACAAATCGCACATCACTATTTTATAGAATGGATATTTAAGCCATCAGACAGTAAACACACACATGCAGTCCATTTCCGCACTCTCCATTAACTGTTTTCCCAAGAGCCTAAGGAGACTATGATAAATTGTACTATTTTCACTATCATACAGGTAAGACTGCCAACTATTAAGCAAAGCATTATGAGCCCCCACAGCATGCACAAGTGCACACAGCGATTTAGAGACGTCAGGAAATTACCGTGCATCTTTTATGTGAATACTTCCAAAAATTATTTCTTTAGAAACATCTAAGAATGTTTTAACCTAGGAGAAATATTCTAGAGCTCAGGATTATGGGTTATGATTAAAATTGTATTTTGAGACACACCACTTTTGCGTTATCAATGTAAACTGCAACTTAATTTGATAGCATGATAGTTTGATGTAGGAAAAGTATGACTTAATAAAAAAATTAAACTCAGGTCTTAATGTAAATATTCCTTGGAGGAAAAAATCCGTAAAACACCAGTGACACTGAATATTGCTTTTCTTCAATCTAAGATTCTCTCAGTTTTAAAAGCCATCTCAATTGCACAGATACTAAAAATGTAAAAATACAGGCAACTTAGAATAAATGAAATGCATTACTAAAGGCTAAAAGTGTTAAAATTATGTAATCATAAACTATCAAAAATAATTTTTTCTTGTCAAAATATTAGAAGGAGAGCGGGGGCTGGCCCTGTGGCCGAGTGGTTAAGCTGGCACGCTCCGCTGCAGGCGGCCCAGTGTTTCGTTGGTTCGAATCCTGGGCGCAGACATGGCACTGCTCATCAAACCACGCTGAGGCAGTGCCCCACATGCCACAACTAGAAGGACCCACAACGAAGAATATACAACTATGTACCGGGGGGCTTTGGGGAGAAAAAGGAAAAAAATAAAATCTTTAAAAAAAAAAGGAGGAGAGCGTAGTGACCAAGAAATTATCTGACAGAAGTAGCCTATTTTAGAAAGAGACTGATTTCAACATACTGATCTCAATGTATTCCAATTAAATAGAAATGTCACCAGTTTCTGGGCCAATGGCTGGGCACCTGTTTACTTAAGGCTTCCTGCATTTAGTGGACCATTCTGTCACCCCTACAGTGTAGATTGTGTTTGTTTTCTTTTGTTTTTAGGGGTATTTTTGGTGAGAAAGATTGGTCCTGAGCTAACATCTGTGCCAATCTTCCTCTCTTTTATATGTGGGATGCCACCACAGCATGACCCGATCAGTGGTGTGTAGGTCTGTGCCCAGGATCCAAACCCACGAACACGGGCTGCCAAAGCAGAGCACAAACTTAACCTCTGTGACACTGGGCTGGCCCCTACATTGTATTAGTTTTATGGCCCACAATACAAACATTTTGAGTCCTACAATTACATATACACTGATGAATTTCTCTCTCTGAGTCCACGCTTTACACCCCAGTCAGATA